CGAACAAAGAAGTTTTTGTCACCCCAAAAATTGAATGGAGAGGAATAAGGTAGTGAGTACATCAAGCATAGGCTTTCGCCATTCGTCGTTGTCGCTGCACTGCTTTTATTTCATTTTTCTCGGTGTCATAAGTTTTCGAGAAGTTTTCAACAATCATCGTTATTGGAAAAGCTAGTACCAGTACACCTGATATACTTGCACAACTTGCAATTATTCGACCAACTAAAATGTATGATCATTTTTGACAACGTACTGTTTTAGACAAAAATTTTTATGACAATGAAAACAAATTTATTTCAAAAAAAAAATCTCTGTAGAAAACTTACATAAAGTTTTAGGAGTAAAATCACCATAACCTACTGTTGTCATCGTCACAATGCACCTAAACAAAAAAATATAGATTTTATCTCTTGAAATCTAATTATTTCAGAACAGTTTACACTAAGTGGCTAATTGGTTTTAAGGATCAACACCGCATGATTACATCAGTAAAGATTTGAAAAAAGCCTCTTTGTGAAAAATTTAAACAATTGCATTGCAATCTAAAATTTTGTTTCTTCCAACTGAAAAACCTTCTTTTTGTCATATATTTGACATATACGCATAAAAAGTTTAATCCTGACTTCTACTTCTTGTTTTACTACATAAGCATGCTGTTGTCTCTTTAATGTCACAAGATATTACGTGAAAAGTGAAAAGATAACGAAAGCCTCAGTGAAAAAAAGTAAGATTTTAGTGAACTAAAATATTAGATTCAAATTCCAAACTTTTTTGCGAAAAGAATGTACGAACTTAAAAGAATAATAAAGTATAAAAAGAAAACGAGGAGACGACTCAATAGTATAAGTGTGAGGGAAGTACAAAAACTAAGTACAAAATCGTGTCTGGAGAACTTGTGTTTTTACGAGAAAAAGCCCAACGGAACCAATTTTGTGAATCCAGTAAATTATGTATAATGAAGTGCTTCACATAATTGAGAGTGAAAGCAAAATCTTTTAATCATAAAAGCTATTGTGATTGAGAATAGGTTGTGATAGAACCGCAATGTTTAGATAGATTTTATTTTGGTAAGAACGTGAACAGAAGATAAATAGAATGCTCAACGTCACTCATTCTTTTCAAATTTCTTTTCTATCTTTCCTTCTGCTCTTTTTCCTCTACAAAAAAAAATTTTTTAAATTTTATCAGCATTTTTTAAAATCTCGTACTTATCAAGCTAATCATTTAAAAGAAGTCTAAAAAGCTGCTATTTCAAAATCCCCTGGCTATCACCTTGAAGATGCACTTTCCTGAAATCATTTATTGGAAAGGGAACCCCAGGGAATGCAAAGTTGAAAGATGAAATAGTGAAATAGCAAACGTACCACCATCCGGCGTGTGGGATAGACCTGCAACAATGTAAATTGTAGCATCAATATAGCCAAAAATGAAAATGGCAACGACTTTTATACGCATTTATTTCTGATTATCAACCCTTTTTTTAGATTTTTTGCTACGGCTGAAAAAAATAAACTAGAAATGTTTACCTAAATTTAGTTTCCGGTTCATCTCGTTCGGCAAAATACATCAGTGTCGAGAAGAAAATAATTGCTGTTACCAAAAATAAGGTTAGCATAGACAACTCTGGCAAGCTGTAAAAAAATTTAAGTAGCTGATATTTCTTTCTTGAAAACTCAACAACAGAGTAGCAATTGAGAAAAACTTTTAAACTATAAATCGTTAAGCAGCATTTTTAGGCAGTGATTTGGTGCATATATGCCATAACAAATTACCTAGTCTTAACGGTGACTCCAAACGATTTTAGGCCGTTTGAATATCGAGCAAGTTTGAATATACGGGCAACACGCATAACACGGATTACTCGCATTATCATGGCAATTCCTCGAAAATCACCAATTTTGTTCGCCCCAAAGCCTCAAATTGCCAAAAATTGAAGCCAAATTATTTAAAACACCAATAAACTAAACAAAAACAAATAAAAAAAACATTAATAATACCTGCAAGATTAAGAGCTATTTCAATGAAGAATGGAATGATGGATAAACTGTCAATCATGTTCAATGGCTGGACTATAAAACGCCATTTACGAGTACAGACAATAAAACGAACAATATATTCAATTGAAAACCATATGATACAAATCTGCAAAAATAAAACAAAAAAGAAAATATTTAACGAAAAAATAATATATTTTGAAAAAAAGAAGCTTAAAGGTTACTATTTTTAAACAAATACAGCAGAAAATCAGCAAATTTTTAATTTCTGAATAAGATAACTTTTAATTAAATGCAACTAATTTTTGACTTCTACGTTATTAATCTTAACGTTTACTACAAAATTTCGTTTATATCTGTGTGTCTGCGTGTGAGTGTTAGTTAATTAGGTCTTTCAATGAGAATGCTTCATACAATTTTAATAAATTCAACAAGAGAAAAAAAATTTGAAAATCAGACTCTCAGAGGCCAACTGAAATTATTGCCCTTCTAATAAAAGTGTTATTTTAGCACATCGTTTTAGCCAATTTTATTGTCTAATCAAAAATCAGATCCGTTTTAGCTCTGTTTCATTTCACTTAAACACTCAGTGCTTAATGTTATCCTTTCGCAGCAAACAAACTATTCCGTTAGTGACTTTTTCAAAATCTGATATATTGAACGCTTAAATTCTTCTAATAAACAAAAAAAAAAAAATTTACTACTGGAATGACTGTTGATATTGATGAATTTCACAAAATAGCATTCTCAGTGGTAAATCGAATTAATCTACTTATGTTATTGATATTTAGAAGAACTGGCAAATTTAATTAATCATTGAAAATCGAACTGTTACTGACAAAGGAGCTAAAATATCAAACAAAAACGAGGTGAAATTGAAGAATGCAAATGCTAACCATTTCAATATAATCAAAAAAAATATTCTGTCTCAAGTCGTGATCATGTTTGCTTGAAACAGTATCGTTACGATCGACGCGTGATTCTGGTGCATTTTGCAGCTCCGGCAGTGATCCCATTATCATCGCAGTAACCGAAATGATAATCATTGAAATACTTGCCAATGCAAACACCTTAAAAACATCGTAAGCAACATTGAAGAACAGGTAACAGCAGTTGACAAATGTAGTTTGTTACTAACAAATACAAGTAATCTTTAATTAAACCTTGGCGATGTTACTTGAACTAGGTTCCTCCATCAAATACCAGACAGATCGCCGAACTCTACCGTATCTTACATTATCAAACTGATCTTCTGGAACAGGTCGAAAAAGTAAACCGATAAATGTTTCTTCAGTGTTGAAAATTAGAGAAATCAGTAGCTTACAAGCGCAAAAGAGTGCTAAATTTTACCAACCGTAATCAACAGAGCTATCACCGGGACCTTCATCGTCATCGGAGTCTTCTTCCAAGACCATACAACAGGGAGCGAAAAAACCACTAAAAATTTGTTTTTTACAGTTTACTCTTACTGTATCAATAGTTCTTAAGCAGAATTTTTCTTCCTTGAAAAAAAAAAGCAGAGCAGGATAAATAACCTGCTAATCTTCCAAAATTCAATTTCTCGATATATTCGGTCTCGACAAATAAACGCCGGTCGATGAATATGGCCAGTAGTTAAAAAGTCATAGATACACTCAAAGGCAAGACCAGATCGCTCAAAAAAGTACTCCTGGCTTTGTACTATGTAACCATCACAGTTTTCCAATCTTTCTTCATGTGTTTGACCAGCAAATTGAGTGAGAAAAGAATTTGGGCATCGATACTGCAAAATATGTTCATACATACACTTCAAGGTTTAAAATTGGTTCTCTCTTCTACTGCTTATTTAGATACTTCAGGAAACAAAAATACTACAACTTCTGACAAATTGATTTTACAACAGAAAAATATTAAGTATCAAAAATCTGTTTGTTAACAAAAATTAGGTTTAACAAAAAAAATATTTTAAAAAATAAACAACTCCACTCACTTGTCGGCAAAAAAATCACTAAAAATTCAATGTCATAAATTGAGCAAGTCTCTATCTTTATCGACATTTATATAATCAAGAAATGTTAAGCCCAATAAGTTGAACAACACTCTGTTGCGAAAACTTTTAAAAAGACTTTAACAAAATTCTGAGCAGTCAATTTCATAGGTTAGCCGCTTAACACAGACATTTCCACTTACAGAACCTATTCAAAAAATTGAAAGCTTTTTTGCATTATAAAATATTTTTAGCCATCAGAAGAAAAAAAAAGGTTATTGGTGGTGAAAAAAAACCTCCGCCAAAGAAGATGTGATATGCAAAAAAAAAAAAATCTACCACACTTCAAAAGATACTAGACAAAAAAATTCCATGTGATCAGCAGTAAAAAATAGAAGAAAAAAAAAGCGAAAAAAAAAGGGTATAAACAAACCTTTAAAGTAGAATATCGAATAATAAAATGCCTTCCACCTATATTCAAGTATATTTGAAAATCATCTTTTTTGGTTTCACTGCTCGGCTCCCATTTATCTACCTCTCTAAATATTTTACAAATATTTTTAACGCTTAGGAAAACAAAGTAGAAGAAAAAAAAAA